CAGATTCAAAAAGATGAACTAAAATCAATTGAATATATCATGATTAGAGATATATGTGGAGTAACGTAGCTAATAGGCATAATACCTAGTTGAAATTGAGAAGTGGCATGTTAGTTAATTTGATATTTGTTAATATTAATTTAGTCATTTATTTACAATAATAAGGCTTTTTATCTGATTGGAGAACATAAAAACATTCGGGCCTATTTAATACTAATTTGCATCTACAACAAAGAGTATGTATACGAAATTTTGCAATTGCCGTTTAATATTTACGTGTGATATTTTTTTATTATTATTTTTTAATCTTTAATTTGTCTCAACCGTGTGAGATGGCATCCATAATAAGGTCAAATCTTAATCAACGAGAGATAAGGTTTAGCATGCACTTAAATCATTGATTTACCGCTCAAAACACTACCATGCGCGTACATTTCAGCATAAAATATTACTCCCATTTTAGAGTAAGTCACAATCTTTCTTAATTTTCTTATAAAAAAATATCAAATCCCAATCTTTCTCGTCTTCTATTATTATACCTATAAAGTACAAACTACGTAAACGTAATATATACAAAAGCAATTCATCTTAAGAGCATCATCATCCTGATATAAGGAAAGTATCAGTTGAATAAACAAATATTAAAAACACACTCTCTCTTCATTTTATTTAACTTTATACCTTCTCTTTCATTCTTTTACTCAATTTTTTATTAATTTTATACTCTCTTTAAATATAAAATTATTAAAAACATTTGATACACTCTTTATTTCTCTCTTCAAAAATATCAAAAGTATCAACTATTTGATATCCTCTCTCCAAAAATATCAACTATCTCTTCTCTTTATTCAAATTTTATTAATTTTATATTTCAATACACCCCACTATTTCAACCAAAAACACTCTCTTTCTTCCTTTAACTCAAATTTTAATAATTTTATATTTAATGATACCCACATTGTATCACCAATACTCATGCTCTAAACCAGTGATTGATACATATATCGCAATCATCATTACATTGATTCTTTGGCTGCTAAACATAGATGAATGAGATTCCAAGGATTTGATTTTAATAAGGATATCCCTCAATTTTAGAGTATCTCCGTTGGTGAAATATAATAGTATAATACTAATATTTTTATAATATTTTAAATTAAAAACCTCACCACTTAATATCACCTCCATTAGTTAGATATCTAATAAATATTTCATATATATAATATTAAATTTTAAAAATTATTAACTTAAAAATTTTATGTTACATTTTCATTATAATTTTAAACATATCATATTACATTTTAAAATATAATTTTTAATTGTAAAAATCGTATTTTTTATGAAATATTGTAACATTGTATTAACTAAAACAATATAAATTTTCTATTTTGTATTAGTTTTAGGCAAAATCAATCAAAAATTATATTAAATATTTTAATATCTCATTTTTAATAGAGAAATCTAAAAAAATGCCATTTTCAACTTTTCAAGTGCCATTTTTCAAAAATGCCATATTTTTAAAATCTTTAAAAAAATACCACTTTTTCAAAAAAACAACTCATTATATCATTTATTTTTGGATTAACTATGTTGTATTAGGTTTTAGTTTTGAGGGTTTAAAAGATTTTAAGGGTCAAAATATTT